ACACATACATTAAGGATTTTAAATATTTTGGATAGCTTTGCCAATGAACAGAACAGTGTTACGAAATTGCGGAATATTTTATTCGAGAGGTGATATTTTTTTTAAATAAATCAAAATAAAATCGGGTGCGGAAGTTGATGATATGTTAAACATTTATTTTTACTCGCCGCTATTCCGCCCTACGATTCAAGTAATGAATCGTGACGTAATAGAAAGTTATCGCAATATAAATATCGAAGTGACGGATGACGATATAAAAAACGGTTTTTGCATATATCGCAGCGCGAACACACGTTTCAGATATTTAAATCAGATATTTAAATTATTATTTGCACTTGACATCTGCGACATGGTCAGCCATTCATGTCTTGCACGCGTGTCGCACGCATCCGGATCGTTTTGTTGTACTTGCACTTTTGACGATCACCCGCATGTTCGGTGCATTTTCCTCGTCCTGATCCATCGATTTATCTATCCATCCATCCCTCCATCCATCCATCCATTCATCCAGCCGTTTATCCATCCACCTATCTATCCTAGCTTGAGTACACCTTTTACTTTATGACCGGATATTACTCTCTCCCGCGTGCCGTACTCTCGTCTCTCGTACCGCATCGATCGCTGTGCGCGTCGCGTGCCGTTACCTCGTCTTTCGTCTCTCACTCGAAACCTCTTCGCGATTTCAGATGGAACGGAGAAGCGAGCTAGACATTGTAAAAATTGGAAATAAAGTTGTTTTCCGTGACAAAACGTGTTATGTTGATTGATCTAGCGATAACTCGATATTTTATGATTATGAGCTAATGTTTCATTGTTTTAACCCTTCCAGACAACTGCCATTAGTTAACTATGATTATACCTCTAGAGAAATACATTGATTTATTGAGATATACATTTATTTTTGATACTTCAAAAAATATTTTATTCATTTTAAAAATATTATAATACTTTGTTTTTTTAACAGATTTTTTTTAGAATCTTTCTTTAGTGAAGAAAAACGACATTATTTGAAATAACGAAACTGAAAACAAAAAATTAGTATGTAAAATGTTGGATCACAGACAATGGAGAGCTTATGTAAAGACAGTAAATGACCTTGAAATAACGACGGAGCCATTTATGGCATGGCAATGTCGTTGGCTGCTATTAATTAGTCCTCTGACGTCCTAAATAAATCATTACGTACTTGCGACGATTTATGAAAATATTTTCTAGGAATCAGAATCGGATTCGAAGACAATGGATAATTGTGGTCTCTGCAATTATTCAATTACTTGAATAATAATATTGAAAGTAAATAATAAAATTTATTCTTTTTATTTTTTCAGTTATTTTATAATCACTCAAATTTTTATTTCTTGCAGCAATATATAGTTTTATATATATAGTAATTTTTTAATCAAATGTGTGTCAATTTATAAAATGCAACGCAATAATGTATTCTAATTTCTAATCTAGATTATGTGACAGTTTTGAGATCACTTATAGGTAGGTATACATTTAATCATCTGCAATAATACATTTAGCAGTTAAGAGGATAGTACTAATTAACACCAGTAATGATATTTACATGACCAAATTTTTTTTTATGAAATATTTCTTAATTCTAAGAATACAAAGGCTTTCATAAGCCATAAGCTACTACGTGTTCTCATCTCTGTAATATTCAGCATTTCTGTAGGCTATTGTTTTGCGTGTTAAATAATTCTGGGAAGAGATCGGCGACCGAATGAGCACGGTTAATTGCGTTAACTAACGATGCTAATGGGACTCGTAGAAGAACACTCGGGGGCTCGGGGGCTTCGTTACAATGCCAGGGTGAAACAAGGCGGAAACTGTGACATGGGGTCAGGTATATGCGCGGAATACAGGGTGAGCCCAAAAAACTTGGTAATCAGTGAAACTAATTTGTATCTAGTACTTATTATTAGGGATTGCGCTTTTTAATCTGAATTTATATGATATTAGAACGAAAAAGATAATATCTGAGAGAAAAAAATACGTTCGTAAAATCATATCACGCGTTCTCTCTACGTACCATGTAATAAAAATTTTACACACATTCTCTCTATGGATGCATAAAAATCTCCGACTCACAAACGAAATTTGCTCACCGCGTGGGAGTATTGTACACGAATTTAGAAGAAACCCGGTGTGCCTTTGGGTCCTCGTGTCTATCCCTAGGGAATAATGAAGCCACCGTGAGCGACGTATTTTCGCGTAAAACATCGGTTTGCGTTGTTTTGCCACGGCAAATAAAGATCCCGAGGGATCGGATAAAATACTGCGGCGCGCGCAAAGACGACGAGGGGCCGCGCTAATTGGCGACGTTAATGACACTCGCGGCCGGTGCTCCACTTTAATCTAATAACGGGAGTCCGCTCTGTAAAGGATAATCATCCCGCTTGTCCCTCGGGCAACGCCAATCTGTCGCGGCCGTGGAAAAAGTTTATGCCCGCAAAGCGACGCGGCCAAATGCGGACGTTTTCACCGCGTGACAAAGCGGCTCAATTAAAGACGCCGCGCTGCTTTTTACATGGCAAAAAAAGTTCACTCGACATGCGGAAATCGTCGGTGATTTACATTGATTCCGCGTATCGCGCAGACTTCATTCGATAAAACGCCTCTGGATAGAAGTTCTACAATCCGAGACCAATGACATTCCGCGGATAAATTTATTTGTCAGAAGCAAGTGTACAGAGAGTTTTTATTCGACGGAAATCCGGATAATATTGATGAATTATTTCCGCATAACTACAGACACATTCAGGCGGAATCTTTTTCTTTTTTTTCTTTTTTTTTTCAATTTCTATTTAGAATAGAAATTGGCTCGAGAAGACACCGTCGCGAGATACTCAGCGCGATCTTTCTTGATCTCCGAGAATAAAGTAAACAGTCGTCCCGTTGCCGTCGTGCTGACGTTGATTTGAAATCAATTTGCTGTTTGCGAGCTTACGATAACGGCAACGCTCGTAACGACGCTGTCGCGTCGAATTCGACGCGAGTTTAATCCGCGTCGGACGCTTCCGATGTGCCAAACCGCCTATCGTCGTCGACAACAATCGCATTGACAATTGCATTCATAACTGGTCGACGTCGATCCAATTCGAATTAGGGATTCGCCCGGTGACTTGTGATGCCAGCTACAACGATTGTTTCGGACCGATAGAACGTCACGACCGGCAAATGCCAAAACGTGCAACGCTGTTTCGTGCGAGGCTGTCGACAATGTACATCTTCAATATTCATTACATACATTCATTCACATGGCTTAATTGGTAATAATCATCATCAACGGCATGACTCTAAGAAGTGTAGACAATTGAAAAAAAAAAAAAAATCTTTTCTAGGATAATTTTATATATATATAATTTTATTCTTCCAAATTTATCCCTTGTAATTTCCTAAAAAGAAAATATTTTCACATTTTTTTTTCTCGAGTATTATATATCGCTTTTGATGGTAACGTCTGTTCTTAAACCTGTTAAATCGTTTAAGACGCATTCCCCATGGCAACCGATATCCCCGTATCAGACGTAGGAATGCAACTACGACAAATCGAAATAACAACGGCGCAATTTCACGGTGGGTCGGCCGGTTGTCGAGGCGCGCGTCATATATCGTCCGTGGAATAATTACTGTAGCGGAAGGACCGATGTCTCTCGCTGTCGAACGGACCGTCTGGAATTCCCGGATCGGACTCGCCGAGGCGAAGCGTCCATTCTGCGGATGCCAAGGTGAATGTATACCGACAGCAACACCGGGGTGAGTATATGAACGCGCGAGCGCGCGCGCGATCCCTCGCGCCCCTTTCTCCCACCCTTGACGACCCCGGGGGGTGCAGTTGCGGCGGGGCGGATGCGTGATACCGGGCTTCGGTAAAGTAATAAAGGAGTCGCGATATGCTGCGGAACGCGCTACAGGAAATGCACACGCGCCACACGGGGCACGATCCCGGCGTATAATAGCAACGCGACAGCACGAAAGCACGAAAATACAGGTCTGCGAAGTTGGCATCCCTAAATGTGGTGGAACTTTGACAAAATCTTTATGACATTTGATTGCCCACATTTGTTTATAAATAATAATTTTTTGTCCACCTTGTAAAAAAATTTATAAATAAATGAAACATTTTAGCACCAACACCCTTAAATATATTCTTTTTTTAATTACACACGGGATTCGGGGTTGTCTGCATTTGTCCATAAATAATCGTTTTCCACTGTGTTAAAAAGAATTATAAATAAATAAAATAAGTATTGATATCGAGCGTGTATGTGAAATGGAAGAGAATGTGGACACGCCGGAATTACGTGGATCGGGAATATCAAACATCGATCGAATTATCTTTCTGAAAGCTGGAAGCCTTCCAATCGCCATAATAAAGATCGAATGGTATCTAATTTTATCCTTTTTATGATGCAACAATTCACATTTAGTAATCCTTAATCGAACCGAAATATAGATGGAGATCTATGGTTGGAATTATTATTCGAAATGGATTCTGATTGAAATTGTTTATTTCTGTTGCCTTTTCTAGAAGGAAAAAAAACCGGAATAATTTTCGGATCGAAATCTACTCTAAAATTGTTTGGTTATTTCTATTGTCTTTTCTAGGGAAAACAGAATAATTCCAAATGGAATCTATTCTGAGCCATTCCATAATATGTACGTAGGAGATTTATGCAACTATTCGGAATGAATTCCGATTGGAATTGTCAATTATTCTCTACTGTTCAATTATTTTCTAGATTTCTGTTGTGTTTTCTAGGAAAAACAAAATAAATCCGAACAAT